ATGTGGCTGGTGCCTTAGCCACTTGAGCCACAGGCGCTGAGCCCTTTGTATTTATTTTATTTGACTTTATTTTTGTGGGTTTTTTTTTTTTTTTGAGACAGAGTCTCAAAGCTATTCCCCTGGGTAGAGTGCTGAAGCCGTCATTGTTTTGGCGGGTCCGAGCTGGATTTGAACCCACCACTTTAGGTGTATGTGGCTGGTGCCTTAGCTACTTGAGCCACAGGTGCTGAGCCTATTTTTGTGTTTTTTAAAGAGATGGTGTCTTGCTATGTTGTTTAGGGTGGTTTTGTTTTGTTTTGCTTTTGAGATAGGGTCTCACGCTGTCTCCCTTGGTAGAATGCTGTGTTATCATAACTTACAGCACAAACCTCAAACTCTTGGGCTTGAGCACTTCTCTTGCCTCAGCCTCCCAAGTAGCTGGGACTACAGATATCTGCCAAGATGACTGGCTAGTTCTTCAATTTTTAGTAGACACAGGGGTCTTGCTTTTCTCAGTCTCGTCTCAAACTCCTCAGTTTAAGCAATACATCTGACTAGGCCTCCCAGAGTGCTAGGATTACAGGGGTGAGCCACCATCCCTAGCTATTTAGGGTGGTTTTGAACTGGCCTCAAGTATTCCTCCTGCCTCCACTTCCCAAAGTGCCAGGATTGTAGAAGTGAGCCACCTTACCTCTCCTTAATAGATAATCTTTTTGGTTTTATTTAAAGAAAGGCCTTTTATAGCTTAAGCCTCCAATGCAAAAGTAAGCAGGGCAGTCTGGTAAAGTCTTTAAAAAATTTTTCAGTGTAGAGAATTTTAACATCTCTTTCTACATACACACACAAAGACTGCATCTACATACGTTGTATGTATGTATATCACTCCCTGGATTTTTGGAATATGTTTCTTTAATTTAAAAATAATTTCCACTTAATAAATGTATACAAGGGACAATGGGGCTCCTTTTCATTTAGTTTTCTAAATGACTGTAAAATATCTCAGACTCCCTATTTAAATTATTTTGGCTCCATTGCAGATCTTTTCATGAAACTTTAACAAGTATGGTTATTTTGTTCTAGGCTAATGGAGGACCGGAGAGAAAGAATAAATAACTTCTTGAGTAAGCTAATGAAAGAGAAACTTGACAACGAAGATTTGATTATTGCTAGAGATATTGCAGAAGCTGAGGCTGAATGGGAAAAAAGAGAAAAAGAAAAAGATGAAAAAAACAAAGCAGAATTAAAAGCGATTGCCGAACATAGAGCCATTGTGGTAAACAATTTAATTATGACAAAAACTGAAAGACCTTTATATTGCAGTTTCCAGACCTTCTACTGCTTCTCTGACAAAAGACTAGCAGACATGTGAAATACAGTGTATGAATTATCTTTTTTTTTTTTTTTAAATTGAGACAGAGTCTCACTTTGTTGCCTTCAGTAGAGTGCTGTGGCATCACAGCTCATAGCAACCTCAAATTCTTTGGGCTCAAGTGATTCTCTTGCCTCAGCCTCCTCAGTAACTAGGACTACAGGCACCGAATACAATGCCGGGCTATTTTTTGGTTGTAGTTGTCATTGTTGTTTAGCTGGCCTGTCTGGGTTCAAGCCCACCAGCCTTGGTGTATGTGGCTGGTGCCATAACCACTGTGCTATGGGTCCTGAGCCTTTTTTTTTTTGAGGCAGAGTCTCACTTTGTCACTCTTATTAGAGTGCTGTAGCGTCACAGCTCATAGCAACCTCAAAGTCTTTGGGCTGAAGCAATTCTCTTGCCTCAACCTCCCAAATAGCTGGGACTACAGGTGCCTGCCACAACACCTGGCTATTTTTTTTTGTTTTAGCAGGCCCAGGTTGGGTTCAAACCCATAAGCCCTGGTGCAGGTACCCAGCACCCTACCCACTGAGCTACAGGCACCGCCTGAATTATCTTTTTATATTTTTGAAGTCAGACAATGTTTGCCTTTTTGTTTTTCCCTAGATACAGGGTCTTATTCTGTAAGCTGGAGTGCAATGGGGCAGTCATAGTTCACTATAGCCTTAAACTCCTGGGCTTAAGTGATCTCCTACCTCAGGCTTCCCAACAGCTGCACCCCATCCACTGTACCCCATCTGCAGTGTAATAATCTCTTCTATTTCAAAGCCACCTAAAAGGCATTCATTTAAATACACATGTATTTAAAATAAACCATGTAAAAACTACCACATTATGTTTCGGGGGGGGTTCGTTTTGGTTTTTTTTGGGGGGGGGTTGGAGACAAGGTCTCAATCTGCTGCCCAGGCTAGAATGCAGTGGTGTCATTATACTCACTGCAACCTCAAACTGCTAGGTCAAGCAATCCCAAATAGCTGGGCCTTCAGGTGTGTACCACCATGTCTGACTAATTTTTAAATTTTTTTGTAGAGATGATGGTTTCAAACTTCTCACCTCAAATGATCCTCCTGCCTTCGCCTCCCAAAGTCCTAAGGTTATATTTATAAGCCATTATGCCTGGCCTATATTTTAAAATCCTTCACAATTTATCTCTTACATAACTGATGGTCATAACATTTAAATGGGATAGTTTATAAACTTTGTAGCAATTAATTTTTTACCTACCAATATTTTCCCCACCTTGAGGAGATGTTGCTTTGAAATTCTTTTATTTTTTTTTAAACCAATAGAGATTGTCCTGTATCACTTGGATATTTCCTGATATTTGGGAAATAGAACAGAACCAAAGTAAACTGGCCACATGGGGTTCAACCCAGCTTCTCTCCTGCATTGCTCCTGGTTGACTCTCTGCTTGGAGCTTTCTAACTGTGCCTTTTCAGACAGGACTGGTTGCTAAAACTGGTTTTAACTTGTTTCCTTTGCCTTTAAACATCTAGATGAAAAATAAAGAGGACGAAGAAAGACAAAGAAAAATAGAGGCTAAAGAACAATTGCTGGCTGTTTTGAAGGCAGATCAGGTTTTCCGGGAACATGAAAAGGAGAAAAAACACAAAGCAGATAAAGAACGCCTTGAAGTTCAAGATTCCCACATTCAGCAGATGGTAATTGTTCCTGAAGATTTATACTTATTTTAGTAATAAGTATGTAAGTTTTCTATATCTCAAGTTGTTTGTTTTATCAGGTAAGAACAGGTGGTCATTATGGTTGATAAAATATATCAAAAAGGTGAGGTTACTTTCTGATTTTATCTATATTGACGTTCCCATACTAGTTTTATCTTTTACACAAATGTTGTTAACCCTTCCTTAGTGTCTATTATGTCTATTTAGTAAATGCTAAAGAAAAGAGAAATGCATGTGACTGATTATGATGCTCTTTGTTTTACTTTTTCCCCTTTTTATAACTAGAGATAATGTTGACTGAGATCTAATAGGTTTCAGATTTGAGGTGAATGAGATTACCATAGATTTAAAAATATGTATAGAGTGGGTACTGGCTTGGCACCCGGAGCATGATGGTTATGGCGCTGGCCACATGCACGGAGGCTGGAGGGTTCAAACTCAGCCAGGGCTTGCTAAAACAACAACGAAAACTGCAACAAAAAAATGGCTGGTCCTCATGTAAAAGTGAATTATGTTTGTAATTTCCCCTTTATAATAATCTATTTTTTCCAATTTTAATATCAGGTGTATCCAGATTAAGCAGAATGATTTTGAAGTATTTCTTCTTTTTCTATTGTCTATAAGATTTGGCATGATCTGTTTTTTGAAGTGATCTTTTATTTTTATTTATAAATATTACTTGTCTATTTTTTGAGACTTTGGAAAAAAATAATAAGTTAATTGATGACTCTATACTGAACCTCAGAGTCAAAGCATTCTATAATAGTCATACTCTTATTTGACAATGTGACTGTTACATTCTTTGCATTACTGTTATTATTATTGCTTAATACTTTGTCGCAGAAATTGTCTGATTTCTTTTCTGAATGTATTTATCTTCATTCATTCTTTTTTTTTTTTTTTTT